AAAAGAATCATCAAAATCCCGTATTTAACCTAAAGACTAAATAATAATTCACAAACATATTTTGCCAAATTGAAAAGATACTGTAGCTCATAAAATTCTTAATAAATGTGTTGAAGAATGTTAGTAAAAGTAGTTTCTTATCATTAGTATATATTGATGCATATTAAAAATCTAACTCCTAATGTGGGGACAGGAGCACACCTCATACCTCTCTAGACTTTTTAGAGAGCTTTTCTATATTATTAATAAAGTGATACCCATATGTTACCCAGAACAAGAGTAGTAGGATGTTCTTGAATTTGAGAACAAGGATTTAAGACAACACTGGGAGAGATGGAACAGGAATAATCAGGAAAGTACATGACATTACATCAAAACAACTTCAGAATGCTGCGTGCTTAAATACTATTCAGGACCTAAAGCGGGTAAGGAGTGGGGGGCGGGGATCAAAAGGCACACACAGCCTTTTTTGCTTCTTTATCATCTCAAAGTAGGAACATATTCACAGGAACTCTGGTCAAAAGAGCCAAACATATCCCCAGAGTACAAACACATTTTGGGTATAGCGTATAACTTAGTGTTTTCTTAGGATTCTATCACCTTTTGAAATTAATCTAGCATCCTTATTATAAATCTACATTTTCTCTTTATTACTGCAGTTTTTCAAATGTGTCCTACATATTTATTGACTTATATGCCAGATGCCAGATAAATAAAGTCGAGAAAAATGACCTAGATTAAAACAAAGAAAACTTGTTTCAACAAAATAGTACAGTAACACAAACTGACTTTGCACCTCGCACAATTCCTGGCAAATAAGAGGCGCATCATCTGTAGTGAATAAATCGGTCCATTTCTTCTCAATCCAAAAAACAGCCCAGGGAAGTATGTGAAATATCCTACAGTCAGAAAAAATAGTCTCCAATCCTATTCAGTTACCAATCCATTCTCAGAACCCATCAAGACCAATTTTCATGAAAGCCTCACTCACACACAAAGCTGCAGCATTTAATTCCCATTAGGCTCACTGCCTGATATATGGAGATATGAGCATTTGTACATTTGCATAAATTTAGGAGTCATCCTTCATTTGATATAAGGTAAATTTCAAAGCTTTGTTTCTTTTCCAAAGAAGTTTTATTTTTCAAATCAAAAATATTTTTAAAGCTTTATTTTTCATATCAAAATCCTATTCATAGTACATTATATTTAATTTTATTAGGGATGTTTTGGGGGAAAAACAACTGTCAAAATTAAAATCTTGTATTTTCTAGACATCTGGAATATTCACTTATATATTTATTATTACTTCACATTAGTTCTCAATTTTTTTAAGAAGCTGGCCTATTTCCTTAAGAAATTTAATTTTAGGCTCGGCGCCTATAGCTCAACTGGCTAAGGCGCCAGCCACGTACACCTAAGGTGGCAGGTTCGAATCCCCAGCCCGGGCCAGCCAAACAACAATGACGGCTGCAACCAAAAAATAGCCGGGCGTTGTGGCGGGCGCCTGTGGTCCCAGCTACTTGGGAGGCGGAGGCAGGAGACTCGCTTGAGCCCAGGAGTTGGAGGTTGCTGTGAGCTGTAATGCCACGGCACTCTACCCAGGGGGACAGCTTGAGGCTCTGTCTCAAAAAAAAAAAAAAAAAAGAAATTTAATTTTAGGGTCTGTCAACATTTTGAATGCATTACTGTTATTTTTAAAATATACACTTGCATACTGGAACAAAACTTAGCATAAGCTTTCCATATAACCATTTCCTGGGCACTTACTAACTTACTATATGCCAGGCTCTATGCTTAACACATTAACTCCATTATCTCATTTGTTTAACAAATATCTTCTCATAATTTTTGCAGCACTAAGCATAACAAGAAGCAATTGCACTATAAAACTGATATTTGTACTGGATACCCACACTAAATTGACGGTAATGCCTAACACAAGTTTATTGTTCCTAAATTCAAGTTGTGTTACTGTATTAACACAGAATCTGATCAGCAATGGTGAGATGCACAGAGAATACCATCTGTGGTAGCGTCAACAGAAAGCTATTGTTAAGTGACTACTTAAGTTACATTCCCTTCTATAGGAAGCAGATTAACATCATCTTATCTATCCAGAACTTTAATTCCAATCAACTTGCCACGTTAAACAACACAAATGTAACCTGCACGAAATGACTATCTAAAGAACCCCTACCTCCTTCTGAAATTGCTTTAAAATTGTAGATTAAATTCTCCCCCAAAGTATCAGGTTAAGCATGTGATAAAAAGAAAGGTGCCTTTTTATGAACTCTTGAAAAGAAATGCTGCCTTACATTTTTTCTATTAAGTTCAGGACTCAACAGATGGGCAATTAGAGTAAAAAATAATAATAACAATTAGTGAGGCTCTTCAACAGTTCCCTAAAACCACCACCCTTTTAAAAGCAAAACTGGTATTTCCAATTTGTTCCAAGAAAGGGAGACGGAGGTAGAAAAGGAAGAGATTGACCATATAAAGAAAAACAAAAATGAGTGACTTCAATGAAAAAACGTTAGAAAAGGGGGTGGCCTCCACAGGAACCAGTGTCTGTCTCTCTCTTATCTTGGAGAGACTCTCATGCTGTTTATCAAATTTATTTAAATCACCTTGAATAGTTTTGAGACCGGAACCAAAAACTATTTCGGCGGTAGAAAAAGCTACGTATTTCCCTTGAATGCACCTGTCAGCTAAGGAAAGAAGAGAGGAACTGTCAAGAGGGACACGAAATCCCTTGTAAAAACCGACTGTGGCTCTACGGCCTCGAATCAGGCGCCAAAGAACAAGCTCTAGGGGCCTGACCGCGACATAACAGGTAATTAAGGGGCAGCCTCCTGGGCCCAGGCCTGGACTGCTATCCTCAAAGAGGCTCTTCTCCCCTTTCAGGTCTTAAGCCAAAAGTCACTTTCTCTGAGACGCCATCCTTGATCACCTAAACTAACCCCCACTACTATGACCCACCAACGTCTGTTTTCTTTTTAAGAAAGGTTTTCGGTGTCCACAAAGTATTGTATTTGAGTATGCTGTGTTTCCCTCCTAGAATATAAGCTCCATGGCGACAGAGGGGCCTCGTCTGCCCTAATCACCCTCAGCATCCGGCTGACACACAGACCGGGATTTCTCCGACTAGGCCCAGAGCGCCGAAGAGGTGATGCAAACCTGAGCGCGCTACGACGCTCGCCCAGAACATGGAACTAGAAGCTGGGGGGCCAGCCCGGCCCTCAAGGGACACCGGGAAGGAGCGGGCGCCGACACAGGCTGAAGCGACGCGGTACGGCGCGGCCCCGCGGAGCAGTGGAGCCTGGCGGCGCCTCTCGCAGCCCTGGCGCGCGCAGGCCGCCCCAGATCACTGCCGTCCGGAAGCCCAGCACCGCCTCCGGCCCCCGGCCATCCGCCTCCGCGTCCCCAGCTTCGCGAGCGAGCTCTCAGGCCGCGCCGCCGGCAGCATCCCTACCACAAAACGCAGGCCGGTCGCCTTCTGCCCAGTACGAACTTCCCGCCGCTTTCTCCAACTAGCAACTCCGCAGCGCCGCCGGCCCCTTCACACCCGCCAGTACGGAGCCTCCCCATTGGCTCGGGGCGACGCGGGGAGGCGGGGCGCGCAGGAGAGCAGTGAGGCGGAATGGGGCGGGGCCCGCGCCTCCCAAAGAATGCCGGGAGCTGTGGTCCGGCGCTCTCGCGGCATCCTGGGAAGTGAAGTCTTTTGGTGGCAAAGAGAGGACCCGCTCCTTGTGCCCCCAAGGACCTCTGGGAAATGTGGTTTACTAACTGTGATACCGTCCTTCTGATCAAATACTGTATTACCAGTGTTCTGAAAGGCTTCGCTTACTAGATGTGTTGACAAAGGACTGCGTGCAAAGGAAGCCCTGTGTTCCCCTTAGCTGTGTCCCCTGCATACTTGAACGTCGTGTATTTTCTTGCCCACCATCCTGGAATGCTAATCCCACTGCAGTCTGGCCTGACTAGCAATAGTCCCCACTCCTAGCTCTTCTACTTTATAGCTGCTTTGCAACCTAAGGGAAGTTACTTCACCTTTTTTTGAAACAGAGTCTCACTACGTTGCCTTCGGTAGAGTGCTGTGAAACCACCGCTCACAGCAACCTCAAACTCTTGGGCTTAAGCGATTCTCTTGCCTCAGCCTCCCAGCAGCTGGGACTACAGGCAGCCGCCACAAAGCCCAGCTATTTTTTGTTGCATAGCCGGCCCGGTTTCGAACCCCCCAGCCACGGTGTATGTGGCCGGCACCCTCCCACTGAGCTACAGGCACCGCCCGCCTTTAAGAGTCTCTGTTTCCTGTGTTAGTCAGGATGAAATGAGATCATCTATAGACAGTCCTTTGCACTTAGTGCTTAATAAATAGTGGAAAATATTACTATTATTCTGTCCTCCCATTGACATGTGTCTAAATCCCAGCTAGCTTTTGTCAGTGAAAAAGAACCCAAATTATGTAAAATAATTTAAAGAGGTTTATTCTGAGCTGAGTATATGCAACCATGTTCCAGCAAACCATGCAAAAGAAACCTTGAGCAAGTGGTCTCACCATACCAATGGATTACAGTTTGGTTTTATACATTTTAGGGAGACAGGAGTTACTCTTAAAGTCATAAATCAATACATGGACAGCATGCATTGGTTTGACCCCAAAAGGCAGCACATTTCAAAGTTGGGGACTGAGGGTCTGGAATGGGTTTAAAGATTCTTTGATTTGTAATTGGTTAAAGAAATGAAGCTTAGTCTAAAGGCTTGGTAGGATTTAAGATAAAGAAGTCTGTTGATCAGAGACAAGCCACCAGACATATACTGAGATGCAAAGTATCTGTCAAGTAAATTGATTACCCGCGGGTATAGTTTAACCTTTGCCTTATATGACCTTAATGATTGTATATCTTATAGTTGCAAAGAATAACTCCAAAAAGGACAGGGCATAACTAGGCATGCCTGACCTCCCTTCTCCTCATAGCCAGCAACTCAGCTGTCAGATTTTGTTTTATATGGGAGGGGAGTTCCCTTGGCCAATGGAGGGTCCATTCAGTCAGCTAAAAAGAACTTAAGACTTCATTTTAGTTCATTTCAATGTCTACTAATCCTATGTAGTATTTCATCTGTAATTTTCTTATATTACAGTTTGCTTTGTATTTATAATCTGTTATCTAAATCTTCATCACCCCTATCGCAGACTGGGACACTGTTCCAGGTCAAAATCACCAAAGCCACAGGCAGAGGGAGAGTAAAATGAAGCCAAGGAGATTTAAGCATTAGGACCTCATTTGCACAGGTCCCTTTCCAAAGCCCTGAAAAGGGCTTTAGCAATATGTTTATATAGCTTGTTAGTTTTACCTGACAAGATGAAAATGTTTTGTATGATTTTCTTAAAGTAGATCTTGCACAATTTTATATGCTTAGGTCCCCACAAAACCTGGGGAGGTTTTGTGTCGATGGGACAGTGAAGTATAGTGCCTGATGTCATGAGCCACTCTAGATAGCCTCACCTGCCCCCAGATACTTCCCTAGCTGACCTTCTACCCCAGGGGAAGCTTCTGAGTCCCTATGCTCCCTGGTTTCTGTGGAGTTTGGCAAGTAGGGAACCCCATAAAGAACTAGAAGGAGGCTCGGCGCCTATAGCTCAACTGGCTAAGGCACCAGCCACGTACACCTAAGCTGGTGGATTCGAATCCCCAGCCCGGACCCGCCAAACAACAATAACGGCTGCAACCAAAAAATAGCCGGGTGTTGTGGCGGGCGCCTGTGGTCCCAGCTACTTGGGAGGCGGAGGCAGGAAACTCGCTTGAGCCCAGGAGTTGGAGGTTGCTGTGAGCTGTAATGCCACGGCACTCTACCCAGGGGGACAGCTTGAGGCTCTGTCTCAAAAAAAAAAAAAAAGAACTAGAAGGAAAGAAAAGGTCGGTTAGAGTCAGTTTTCCCCTGGATCCTTGCTAACAAGGTCACCTCCAGTTGGCTGGGCCCTCAGCTGAAGGTCAATGCTTCCTGGCACTCCTTCCAGTTTGCAGTGACAGCCATTCCATTTGTTTCTTGGCCTGGAAGTGATAATACTATGGCTGCTGCTCAGCCCCAAGTTACTGCTCCAGCCCACATGGTCACACCCCCACACCTTTGTAAATAGTTTCTTTATAAATATTATTTAAACCCTCCTCAAACAATCCTGTTTCATATGTGTCTTCCTGTGGAGCCCCTGACAGAAACACATGTGTAAGGTGAGCACTTGATGAGTATCTGTTACTAAAGAGGTCTCAAGATTCACACATCTCATGGGTGCGGAATCCCCCAGCAAGACTCTGTGGCCAGAATTCCCTGATAGGAAGACATTCTACACACACACACACACACACACAAACAAGGCATTCATACACTAAGAAGACTTGGAACAGGACTGTCACAGTGCGACTGCATTCCCCTAACTTCACCATAGACGTGCAGAATAAATGTCCCTGCTTCTACACTGGGTTGACAATTGGCTGACCTTAAAGCACAATTAAATCAGCAACAGTGCATGGAGTATTCCAGGGTGAGAGTGGAATATTTTTATTCTGGAGCTCATAGCTCTGGCACCCTCAATCTATGACTTACTGGAAAATGCTTCTTAAATGCAGCTCTGCTCCAAGGCAGTTGCCAACACCTCCAACACCACCCACACATGCTGAGATGTCCTGCTAGCGCTGAGCACAGCAGGAGGCCAGGTAAGCTGCTATCACAAAGACTGAAATGCTACAGGGGAGAATGCAGCTCTGGAACAAAGGAGACCCTCAAAGAAACTATATGAGTTAGTAGCTTGGTATCAAAAAAAAATAGCTTCTTGGTATCAGAATCAGCATTGCGCCGAAAGTGAACCAGTGAGGACTTGCTATTGCCGGGCTTTAGGAATAAAGCATTAAACAAGGGAGAAAATAATTTGCATTTATTAAAAAATACCTACACAGTCCAAAAATTTACCAAACACTTACTGTCAGCTGGAGATTGGGCTAAACTTCAGGAATTCTGGTTGAACTATTGTCTAAAGAGGTCCTACAATTTGTTATGCACTGTGCTATTTCACATACTTTATCTCCCCAATTCTTAGAAGCAAAGAAACGAAAAATCTCCAAGAATTCAAATGATTTTAGGTACCTTGAATCTATTTTTTTTTTTTTTTTTTTTTTTGAGACAGGGTCTCATTCTGTTGCCTGGGCTGGACATCATAGCTCACTGCAACAGCAAATTATTGAGTTCAAGTGCTCCTGAGTAGCTGGAACCACAGGCATGTGCCACCATGCCTGGCTAATTTTTCTATTTTTGGTAGAGACAGAGCCTTGCTATGTTGCTCAGGCTGACCTCAAACTCCTGGCGTTACGCAATCCTCCTGTCTCAGCCTCCCAAAGTACAAGAATTACAGGTGACAGCCACCAGGCCCAGCCCCCCAAATCTACTTATAAATTTTCTTTTTGCTGCCCTTTTATGTACAACCTCAGTATGTAAGAACAATTCTTATAAAGAAATAGTTTCAACACAGTAGTATAGAGTACAAAATGTGACACAGCGAAGTACTGGTATCCCTGGCTAAGGAGTCATCATAGATAAGAAAGAATGACCCATGAGAGGGTTTAGCTCAGTGAATAAAAATGTTTCAACTGCCTTGTAAGGGCAGATCAACCAAAATGTATAGGTGGGATATGTGTTGATTTATCACATCACTGGGCCCCAGAGTTCCCTTTTTCATTTCTGGGAGCCTAGCACAAAGACAGAGAACTAAAAATAGTCCAGGGCACTTTAAGAAAGTGTGAGGAGGTTGGTATTGGCTCCACTGTGGCTGGACTCAATTTGTGAAGTTCAAACAAACATGATAGATAGTCATTAGGAAGCAATACTGCCCTGGCCGGCTGCCCAACAGGCACTGGTTCCACCCATGAGTCAGTTCATGAGTCCTTACTCTTGTTCTTTTCATCTGTAGAATGGGAACAAGCCTCCTGGGCCAATTAGTTCTTTTCCTCCCAGGCTGGTGGGAGGCACATGAGATCACTTCTGAGAAGGGCTTTGATCTATCTGGGACAAAGCCTCTAGGCTTTTATTTCTCAGTGTAAGCAGCCTAACAACAACCCCAGGAAATATCACCTCCTGGGAAGAAGAAAAGTAAAGGGGAGAGAGGAGCAGAATGTGATGAAGGGTCTTTCTTCTGAGTGCCCTGCCCTTGGTCTGTACTCCGATGATTCCCTTTTGATGCTCCATTTTATCATAAGTACCCAGATCTCTTATTTCCCTTTCAGCATCTTTTAAGCATCTACCATGTGCCAGGCACAGTCCACAAATTCTAGTAACTATGATTTTTATGAAAACCTAATCCTGCAAGGTAGGGAATAGGACCCCAGTTTCCAAAGCCCCAGAAAAATAGACTGATTTACTAATTACCAACTGAGTCATCTGACTCCACATCCGTCCCGATCTCCATCGCAGTTGTTAAAGTTGGCAAACGTAGTGGTAGTGAGGTTGAGAGCTAATTGGAGACACCTGCATGCC